TTCTTTCTGTCTGCCTCTCAACCATCGTCTTCCATTTAACAAATGTCAAAAATGCTTCATCTTTAGTTTTCAAAAAATACGCCCACACCATCCTTATGTAATCACCAATCAAAGTCATAAAATACATGGAACCATTATTAGAAGGAACTCTACTTGGACCCCACAAGTCTGAATGTGTATAATCCAACTTGTCTCTGGTCCTGTGCTCAACCTTCTTGCAGAACTTTACCCTTATTTGTTTACCAAACACACAACGCTCACAAAAATTCAAAACATGATTTTTGTAACCATTCAGCGAATTCTGTTGTGTCAACAAAGACAATCCCTTATCACTCATATGACCAAGTTGCAAGTGCCACAACTGATACTGATTCTGATCACTTTTCTCAAAAGCTATAACAGCTTTCAGTTCGACTACAGAGGCCTGATGATGATACAATTTAGAATGCAGTTTACCCTTAATGAGTACTATGGAGCCTTTACACATTTTAAGTATTCCATTCTCGGAGTGAAACTTATACCCTTGATCATCCAATGTCGAAAGAGAGATCAAATATCTCTTTATCCGAGGAACATACCAACACTCAATGTTTCTGATAATTCCATCGAACATTCTCAATTTGATGTTACCAATCCCCTCTACTGGTAATGGATTATCATCTCCCATGTAGACAGTCCCACACATTTGCTTATAAGTTGCAAACCAGTTCTTGTGTGGACACATGTGGAAAGTAGCACCAGAATCAAGAACCCAAGAATTCTGCCCATGACTAGAACTCACAACACAGACTTTCCCTACAAAGTCACTATCATCAGAATTATTGCTAGTGTCAATAATATTTGCTGAATTATCTATTTTTTGCTTCCCTTTTTTCTCCTTCAGCTTAGGACAATCTCTCTTGTAGTGACCTTGCTCCCCGCACTCGTAATAATTTTGCTTCCTTGCTCTAGAGTTTGATCTGGCGGTTGACTTTTTCCTGTTAAAGTCCTTTTGTTATGTTCTTCCTCTAATTAGAAGATCCTCGCCCTCAATTCTGCTGTTTGGAAAACTCTTTTTGAACTCTTTAGATTTAGTACATTACTAAAATCTTCCAATGAAATATTGTCTTTCCCATATAGTAGCGTATCGACAAAAGTATCATAAGACGGTGGTAAAGAACATAACAAAATCAAGGCCTGATCCTCACTCTCAATTTTGATATCCACATTCTTCAAGTCCATTATAATTGACTTAATCTCGTCAAGGTGAGTTTTAACAGGTGTACCTTCGTTCATACGCAGATTGTATAACCTCTTTTTTAGGTAGAGGCGATTTGTCAGCGATTTCTTAGAATACAGATCTTCCAGTTTCTTTCATGCCATTGTTGCAGAAGTTTCTTCTGCAATTTCCCGAAGAACGCTATTACGCCCCTCAATATTACGTCGATATTACGTCCCGCAATATCATATTACGATGATGTTACGCCTTGAAGTATTACATTACGATGACGTTATGCTTTGCAATATTAAATTACGATGATGTTACACCCTGTAGTATTGTACTTTGAATTTGTCGTCAGGTAATTGAAATCAGTCCAAGAAAAAGATTATTTGGAGATTATAAGGATTATGCTATTTCAAATAAGTAATGAGTAAATTCGTGAAGGTGAGAGGGGAAGAAAGTCAATGAAAATGAATTTTCGTCCAACTTTGGCATGTTGAGATAAAATACAGCTAGAGCTAAAGTACTCGGTATTTATGGGCTAGTGTCATACAAGGTACCACATGACCATGATAGTAAGGTGTATAAGGTATGTAAAAAGTGAGTAGTATTTTAAGTAATTTGAGGTAATTCTTAATTATGTGGGTGATTGGTTAATTATTGAATAATTTACCCAATTAATTAAGAAATTAATTATTAGATAATGAGATTCTTAATTATGGAATATTACTCATCAATTATATAGTATGAGGTGGCAGCCCTCCTTGCCAATTTGAAATGACTCATGTTATAACATGAAAGGTGGAAATCATTTAAGAAATGATTAAAAGTTTCTTCTTAAGTCCAAAGCTTGCATTAGTCACAAAATAGATGGAATTCACAAGTTTGAAAAGCCATAAAGGCTCTAACGTATTGCTTCTGCTTCAGTAACAACCTTGAAAGGTTGTTATAAAATTAACAAAGTGAGCATATGAAATTTTCTACAAAAATTCGTACGAGATTTCACAAGGTCATATCAATGGGATTTTGAGATTCTAAGAGAATACGGTACAATCTTTCTCAAGAATAACATACAGATTTTTACCTATTCTGATCTTGCCGTCACGTGTTAGTCGAAATTAACGTGTGTTAGAGGAATTGTCAAGAGAATCGACTCAGGTATGTTAGGCTATCCCTTCTTTCTTTTTGGCATGATCCATACGATACAAACGAAACGAGCGAATGCACAATTTTCGTAAATGAGTCTATTCATAGAAATATTAGAGATGCTTATGTTCTTGATTCCCCATGTGTCATATTATTCTATCATCTATTCATGGGTCTCAGAAAATACGTAAGTTGATGAAGTTTACTTTAAGGTATTATTCAAAGTCAAAATGGTCTTACGACACTCCGAAAGATTTTATTGACGCACTTCTCATGCATTGCATTCATGTACATTGACCCATGACCAGATGGCGTTATATATGTATAGTATATGTATATGGGATATTGGAAAAAGGTTACGGCGTTATATGCGCACCACCACCTGATCAGTTGGTATACGTTGATGATTTGCCCACAGTGGTTGAAATGATATGACGGGATGCCCTTAGAGGCTTGATGATGTTATGAACGCATATACCCATGCATGGTATGACATTTATACGCACATGCATGACATTATAAAAATAAAATGATTCACAGAGCTATGCAAAAGTACATGTCGAGTATTTTACTCCATGTTTCTCTGATTTCTATTATTTACTTATTTTCAATCCTTACATACTCGGTACATTATTTGTACCGACGTTCCTTTAGCCTGGGGACGCTGCGTTTCATGCAGGTCCCGATAGACAGTTCGAGAGCCCTCCAAGTAGGCTATCAGCTCAGCGGAAGATGTTGGTGCGCTCCATTTGCTTCGGAGTTGCTTGTTTGGTTAGTATGATTTAGATGTGTATTGTTTGGTATGGCGGGACTCTGTCCCGATCTTTATGAAAATTATGTATTCTTAGAGGCTTGTAGACAGATGTCATGTACGTAAAAGATTGTATGGCCTTGTCCGTATATGTTCAGTGTACGGGTGATTATTTTGGCCTTATAGGCCCGTATGTCTTATGTATAAGTTGGTATCACATGTTGTATTCTACTTATCTCACAGCAGCCTTCCGGCTCAGTTATCTATGATAGTATGACATAAAAAAATATGTTATGTTGGTACTCGGTTCAGTAAGGTACCGGGTGCTCGTCGCGGCCCATCGGTTTGGCTCGTGACAAACGCTATATGTATCTCTCATGAAGATCGCACTCAAAGCCCTCTACTTCAGGTGTGCCTTCTCTGTCTCTTTCATCTCTTCAGGAAAATCCTCATCAATTGCCTTCCATAACCCTTGTAACACCAGTGACGATTTCATCCTAATCTTCCAAAGACTGAAAGTAGATCCCCCGTCAAATTTCTCTACTTCGTACTTTATTGAAGATGATGAAGACATCTTACCCTAGATTATATGTAGAAATACGAACCTTGCTCTGATACCGATTGTTGCGGAAGATCATGGGTTAACTAGCACACAATCACATACAAAGCAAATAGAGAAGAAAAATCGACAGAAGGATTTAACGAGGTTCGGCTAAGCCTATTCCTCAGGGCAAAAGCAGAGAGAGTTTTTCACTATGAATGTGAAGAAAAACACAATACCATCTATAAAATCCCCAACTACAACCCATATATATAGATCCCAAATAGTCCCAAACCTATAAGAGAAAGGTTTCCCAATTTGATAAAGACTATAGGTTTTCTTTTCCCAAATCTATTAGGACAGTAGGTTTTTCTAAACCTATAGGGATTGTGGGTTTCCTACGAATACAAGGAAATAATTCAAGCCACAAAATAACACTAATTAAATGACATATTTGTCCAACATAAAATTTATTCTTAAACGATTAAAAAAGCGAACCACATTTTGGCAAGAGACTGCTTTTATTTCATGACTTTGTGTTGGGATCTTTTTGCTAGTCGTCGGCAGCAATGCAGTCTCACTAGATTTCTTAAGGTTTGTAAACTATTCGGAGTTCGCCTCGTCTTTTATTTCATGTGTTTCCAGATTTTGCTGACGTCGATTAGCATATATTATGCTCTAGTATATTTTTTTTATCCTGATGTTACTATCAGAAACGAAGTCGGAATTTGAACTTTATGAAGTTGTGATTGTAATTGTGTTTATTTATTAGGTTCTAAATTAGTAGGTTTCAAATCTTGACTCCACTTCAAATAGTAATTTAAAACTATTCCACTTTGTTTAGTTTTTGCTTCATTATAGTGATGCATGTATTGCAAAAGTTAACTTGTAATCTTGTAAGGTGATGCTTGTGTTCCTTCAAATTTGTCTCTCATTGATAGGCAGAATTGTTAGACTAAAGCAGGAGGTCAAAATGGTACGAATTACAGTCTAAATAGGAATTTCTATTTCTTTCACTTTGAATTATCAAGACTCCTTTCCATTTTTCCATTTTCTAAAATTTCAAAAGATTTAAGAGTTTGGGGTTAAAAAGGGTACGATGTTACAAAATGCATAGCAGTATAAGGGTGGTTTTAGGTGAACAAGATGCCGTTGATAGTGACAATGGAAATTCAATTTGTATTAAATTAGCAAGATTGTTCCTTATATTCTAAAAACTACATGACTAAAATTACGACAACATTTTGTATCTTGACAAAAGTAGGGACTGACGGGTATACCTTGACAAAAGAAAGCACACAGCTTTCGAACATATAGCAGAATGTGGACATTTTCAACGCAATAAACAAACTTCAAGCAGATTAAGAAAGAGAACATCTTCATTTGAGTTCTCTAAAATAGTTCAAGATTATAAGGGTGTGAAATCAACAACAAAAATAAAAAAAGGGACAAGAATACACAAACATACAGCATCAGTTTAACATTTTATTTTGATTAAGGTACTTCAATTTATGAATGGACACTTAGCTGGACCGAAGAGGAACCCTATTAACGAGCCTAACTTTCAGACCATTTTTCATTTGAAGGACAATAGAATCACTTGGAGAAATGGTTTGAGCTTCCATTAGTTGGACATGGTAATTTTGTATGATTGTGGCTGCCACCATTTTCATCTGAATGAATCCCATTTCTCTCCCTAAACAAGTCCTTGGACCAGCATTAAATGCTGGGAATTTAAAAGATGGCTCAGGTTTAATCTTTCCTAGTTCTGAAATCCATCTCTCGGGCTTGAATTCTAAGCAATCTTTTCCCCATATACTCTCTATTCTACCCATTGTATAAAAGGATAGCACAATTCTCGTGTTTGGACTGACACGGTGACCACTCGGAAGAATGTCATAATCAAGTGGAACTTTATGCTCAATTGAAACTGGTGGAAATAGCCGAAGAGCTTCGCACAACGCACCATGTAAATAAACGAGTTTTCGTGACTCTTCTACGTTGAAAAACTTGAGGTTATCATCTTCTTTTATTGGATGCAATTGCTTTTGAATTTCTTTTCTAATCCTTGTCTCTGCTAAGGGATTTTTGGCTAAGAGCCAGAAAAGCCAAGTGAGAGTTGTACTTGTGGTGTCTCTCCCAGCAAATATCAAACTCAAGAAAGTGTCCCTTAAAAATTCTTGTATATTGCTCGAATCTCGATTGTTCCATTGATAGTATGCTTGTACGTAGGCAGCGAATATATCGAAGTCCTTGTCTTTGATTACTTTGTTCATCAACTCTTGTTGCTTACGTGAAATGCGAGGATATAGAAACTGATCAAAAGCTTCTTGTGCTTGAATGAGCTTCTTTTCTTTACCAATTTGAAGCCATTTTTGTAATTTCCAGCAGATTTCTGGCAATATATGTCGATAAAAAATTGCATACATAGCGTCGTTGAATGCCTTTTCGCATGGAACATGAGGCAAACCAATGGATAAACTTCTTGGATTATGGTCAAGTAACAGTTTGATAATAGCATCGAAACTGTATCTTTGAAAAATATCTTGCAAATCGAATGGGGTGCCTTGTCTAGCAAAATCATCAAGAATTGGTAGAAGCCCTTTTTCAATAGTGTCCCACGTGTTCCTCTCTAATAAAATTTGGAACTTGGGATGACTCGTTAAGGACATAGTGGTCTTCCTATGAATCTCCCATAGCTCATAATCAACATTAAAAATCCCATTTCCTAATATATCGAATATTTTACGGTACTCAAGCCCCTTTGGATAGTTTGAGAAATTTCTACTAAGGATATGGTGGATATTTGCAGGATCGCTAGTAATTAACATATTCAAGTTGGCAAGAACAGGACCGTGAAACTCAACTGTGCCCATAGTTTCTATAAGAACATCAGTTGCAAATTCATGGACACGATGAGCATTTTGAATAAGCCCAGGTAACATTCCAATGAGAGGCCAATTTGTTGGCACTGAGGTTTTGCACCATCTACTTGTAAGGTACCATGTAGAATAAGTGAAACATATGATAATAATGAAGAGGGAAAGAGAAAATTCAAGGACATTCATTGGAAAAGATATGAACATGAGAGAGAGAGAGAGAACTTGTTTAAGTTCAGTCCTATATCTTTTATTCTGAAGGGAAGGAACCATACGTTTTATAAAGAAAGTCGTAATTTAGATATAATAAGTTTATATAAAAGATTAAAGTGGTAAGTTGGGAAACTTGTTTTCAAATAGATTAATCTTCAATCTTCGAAACATATGAAATGATCAACAGCATAAATATATTCTTTGAGTTAGAAAAGAAAAAGTTATACTTCAAAAGTATTTATTAAATAAAAAGACTTGGCCTCGTAAAGATATGGAACATGTACGCCGCAAGGGACTCATGTAATGTGCATCCTAATTCACGGCCAAGCAAATTACCAAATACCGAAGAAAACTATAAAATAGAGCCATCAGTTAGCCATTTACCACACCCATCATCAAATCTTTGTTTACTCGTAAAATGCTACAGTTGAATTTATAGCGTGATTTATAGAAAAGAGAATAGATTTGATCCCAAAATGACAAATAAATTAAATAAAATGCAAGACTTAACGTTAAAATCGAGATTGAATAGTAGATAGATTGGCTCCGGGAGTAAGGCTTTCGAAGGCAACAATAAGAATAACGTTAGATAGAAAATAATATATTATATAGCTTGGAATAATATTTAGCATAAGTTTGTCAGAGTTTTCGTGTGTTACAATTATAGTTATACCTAGGGAGCAAGATCCTTTCTTAAATGACAATAATGGGGGCCATTGATGAATATGTAACGGCAGGTCATGAATGCCAAAATTCTCTATAACTGGTGTGCATTTAATACTGAGGAATATTCTTCATTGCATGTCATCTGGTGATAAATATTTGTTTGCTTTCGTTGATAATGTTCCCTTCCGGGTCTACCCGATGCCAATCGAAGTTATTGTCCATGGGCTTGATTTTCATTCGCTTCGTCTTCCATCAGCCCCAGTTCCACATATCACTCTATTATTCGAGTATTTATTGTGAACCGATTTCACCCCCATACAAATAGCCCCCCTGCTTTCTGGTGGAGCATCTTTGTGTCACCAGGAAGTTGGTGAAGATTCCTTTCTTGGCGGAAAATTTTTTGAACCCTTATGAAAAGTTTCTGATGCTTGATAAGACGCACATCTCTTCGCATTTAATAACCCGAACACGTGTTACTCCACGATTTAGCAATATTTTTGCCAGTTCTCGAGATAATCATGGCCACGATTTTAGCCGCATATTCCTTTACTTATACGTCTCATTCTTATTTGTTTACACTTAACAATTGTACAGAATCTCTCAACTTCTTTGAATTCAACTCCTTTCTTCTATTATCTTTCTATAATCTTCGCAAAGAACTCTTAATTATCACCTTCTGCTGATCATGATTTCTTTCACTAACTCTTCCAAGAACTCTAGTCTTCTCTTCGTCAGAGGCATGAAGAGAAGCAAATACAAAGAAATTAATGTTGATGCTGACCCTCCTACGGTGAGTACCATCATCCCCAAATATCTCAACACACCAAGGACTTTGAAGAGAACTTCCCTTGTTCGCGCTCTCGCACTTGGGTTGTTGGCAAATATCGTTCTTCTATTAACCCTTCTAGCATTCCTGCTATGAAGAAGGAATGTGATTACCATGACTTGAATATCATTGCTCCCGATCTGGTGGATCGAGTAACCTTCACTAAGAAGGGCTTCACGTACTTTTACACATACCCATTCACTTTGGGTGCATTTTCTTTGAGTGAGGAACTTGACCTCGTGATTTTGGAGTTGTGCCACCGACACTAGGTTTCTTTGGCATAGGTGGGCCCTTTGGTGTGGCGAACGGTGGCCTGTGCGGCAGTTTTTCAAGGAAACGAAGGAGGACCCCAACTTGGCTTGTTTGATGAACCACTACTCCCCAGAGATTTTCTGTAGGGGGGGGGGGGGGTTAATAAATTTCAGCAAACGTGGGCACCATGCTTTGCTCACCAGCATGGATGATGACAACGATCGTGGCTGGATAGAGTGGTTTGTTTTCATTGTCACCAGGGATATTATCCTGGCTACAACTCCTCCTTTCCCTGAATCATCGACTCGTACACGTAATTTTTAAAGTCTATCTCTTTTTTTTGAAAAAAGGTTATTTCATGTCGCTGTTAATCCTTCTTCTTTCATTATTTCAGTAACTCGGTGGACGCCACCAAGCGTTGAATACCTGGACTGGTGGGTTCAGAAAATTCTGGACATCAACGCACGAGAGACCCGCCGGTGGAAAAAGTTGGCCCCCAAGTATGGGTGGAAGGCCAAGAATCACGGTAAGCTAATTTTCTCTTCATTTTTTCTTTGTACATAGGAATATTGGATAACCTCACTCCTCTCCTTTTTGTTGGATTCATGTCTCCCGCAGGGTTCTGTTTCCATCCTTGAGGAGGACGTTTTGGTTGATATCGTAGAGGCTGCAAGGTTGCTGAAGGAGGCTCTCACCCGAACAGGCGCCATTGGATCTGCTTCCAGTGCAAGCGCTTCCTCTCGGATTCCTCTGTCGGAGAACAAGTGACCAAAAAGGCGGTGTTCTTCCTCGGCTGAGGGCAAGAATAAAGAAGTTAAGAAAACCACACATGAGCCAGCCGTTGTTATTGGCGATGATGGGGAAGCCAGTGATGAAAGGGCTTGCCTATAAATGCAACAACGACCTTCATCAGCTCAACAAAATGCTCAATTAGAAGAACTTATAACCCCTTCCGAGGATGATGCCCAACCAATCTAGGAGAATTTGACTTACTGAAGAATGCCAATTCTCCCTTTCTAGTTCCAGTTGCTGCTCCCGGTACTATGAGGCCTAGTACCGGGCCTCCTCCGCATTCGGTTGTTGAGTAACCAACAAACAACACTGCCTTTACCGCAGCTGCTTCTCAACCCACAACATCATCAGCTTCATTTCCTACCATGCCGGCCATACTTTCATTGCCAGCAACTGCTACATCAACCCCACCTGCCGCAGACGCTCGAGGGGAGGGTGTCCATCCTCCCTTTTCCCCAGACCATGGGAATTTGGGGCACAACTACCCACCCCATTCTGTAAATCCCTAGAGGAGGAGGAGGAGTGTCTCTGCTCGGTGTCTACTGACAGTCATCCGTTGTCCCGACCGGTGGAACTCACTAATTATCTGAAGCCGCTAGCTTCAAAAAAAGATAAACAGAAAGTACACTCTCTTTCGGGAGAGTGTTTGTTATATAACTCCATGCACAATGCGGTGGAAATACCGAACTTGTTCTTTTATTGCTTGTTTTTTCTTGATTTGTCGTGACATGGTTTTTAAATTTTGTATTTTCTTCACAGACCAACTTCCTTGCTTCGGAGGGCCTTCAAAAATTGATCCTTGATAAAGAAGGGCTCAAACCCGTGCGGGATCAGTTGTTGGTCGAGAAGTGCCAAATTGATGCTCAACTCCAGATGCTGGAAGCAAAAGATGCCAAGGAGAGTGAGTTATAGGCTCGGTTGCAACAGAGTGAACAGGAAGTGACGGACCTCAGCCAAGTAGCATCTTAGCTAAATTTACAGTTTTGAAAAGCTAAGGCTAAATGGGCTGAGGTCCAAGATGTTGTGCTAGCCGCTGCCGAACGCAAATCTTCCTCCATTGAGAGAGTTAATAGCTTGGAGGCAGCCTTGAACTCCAAAGCTCAAGAGGTTGCTGCTGTCGAGGTGAAGTGTGCCCAGATGGAGGATAGGTATTTGAGGATCATGGAACATAATAAAGTTCATATAACCACTATCTGTGATCTTGATCTTAGCCTTAGCGCCACGAGATCCCAGCGGGGTAGCCTTCTGACCGAGGTTGATAGGCTTAAATCAGAACTTCCGTGCCGAGCGGATTCCCTCATCATTGAAAAAACAATTCTATGTATAATATGAGGAGATAAACCTTGGAAGAGGCCAAAGAAGGGCATCATTAATATTGATGATGAGATCGCCAAGGCCCGAGAGTTGGAGTTAACTGCTCGAGTATGCCTCCCGATCAGCTCGATGCAACTGACTCTTCAGGCTCTGATTTCGAGTTCTCAGGAATCAAGGAGGAACTTTAAGAGAATAACAATGAAGGCCAATATCCTGAGCTGGCGGAAGATCCACCTACTTCTCCTAGGGACACTGATGTTTCTATTCCCCCAAGTTATGGGGGCGACGTAGTTTAGCCTTTTTCTTTCTTTTCCTTTGTTGCTTGTTGTATTTTTGTACTTGTGCTTCTTGACACATTTAATGAATAAAAGTTCTTGTCTTTTTAATCATTGCACAAAATTTATTCCTTTTGCATCAAATTAGGTAAGGCTTCGGGTGCATTTTCCCCAATAGCATTTGGGCTGCGGGCATAAACTCTTCCGGAACCAACCATTTACTGTAAAGGTTTCATAATAAAGTTCCCTCTTATTTTTACGGTCATCTTGAAGAGGACGTCTCCTGTTCATTCCGGCACGAGCATTTGAAGTAATTGATTAACTTTCAAATGATAAATTAAATTTATCGGTTGGACAAAAAACAAGATAAAAATAAAAGGACTTTATTTTATTCCTTCTATCTTCAAAAGTACATAAGCATTCATTTTTCTAAAAGAAAAGAAATTGCCTTTACATGTGGCTAATTGGTACAACTTGTTTCTACGGGGCTAATTGTGCAGTCCTCGATCCCAATGAGACATTTTTGTTCCCGGATTTCATAGTCCCGGTTTGTGTGGCGACCGGGTTGTCGTAATCCCATATTATTCTCCCCTAGTGTTCGAATACAAAGAATGCAAATTGAGCTAGATATCACGGCGACTTGTCAGGGGTTCATCCAGTTTGTCACGTGTCTATGCTCCAGAGATATCACGCCGACTTGTCACATGTGCTATACTTTAGCACTATTCAACCAGATGAGAGATTGGGTTATGAGGAGGAGCCAATTACCATTGTTGCTAGACAAGATCGCCAGTTGAGATCCAAGAGAATTTCCACGATAAAGGTTCAGTGGAGGGGCCAACCAGCCAAGGAGGCGACCTGGGAGTCCGAGAAGGACATGTGGAGCAGAATCCACACCTACTCAGCACTTCAGGTATGAATCTAAACCCGTTCGAGGACGTACGTTTGTTTAAGAGATAGAGAATGTAACAACCCGACCGGTCGTTTTGCATTTTTGAACACCGTTCCCCTAATTAAGACTTCCTGTACTTGCTTTTACTAATTTATGACTTGCGGGAATGGTTGGTTCGGGATTTAGAAGAGTTTGGGTTGAAATAGGAACACTTGGTTCCTTTAGGTTGGCCTTAAATTCCAAGTTTGACTTCGGTCAATATTTTGAGTAAACGACCTTGGAATCTGGATTTGATGGTTCAAATAGGTTCGTATGATTATTTTTGACTTGGTCGTATGTTCGAATTGGATTTTGGATGACCCTGGAACGTTTTGGCGCCCAATAGTGAAAGTTGGTTCTTGTTGTTTTTAGAAGTTCTTTAAATTTGGTTCGGAGCAGGTTTGGATATTGAGGTCCGAATTGAATTCCGAGACAGGGAATAGTTCCGTAATGTCAGTTAAGACTTGCACGCAAAATTTGGTGTCATTGTGAGTAGTATAAGTACATTTTGGCAAATTAGAAGTAAATTGGAGAACTTAAAGTTCATAAGTTTGATTCAATTGGTTTTAGGGTGTGATTCTTAGTTTTAATGTTATTTCAGGCGTTCCGACAGTTTGAGCGAGTCCGTTTTATGATTCAAAACTTGTTTGCATGTTCGGGTGGGGCCCCTGATGCCCCGAGCGTCAATCGAACGAAGTTGAGCCAAGTTGAAAGTTTGGAGCAAGAGCTGAAGCTCCATCTGCTGTCATAACCGCACCTATAGTTGGTCAGCCACATGTGCGAGCTCGCAGGCGCGGGTATAGGCTCGCAGATGCAGCCCAAGAAGAGGAGCCCAGGTTCCACAGATGCGGCTCCTTTTTCACAGAAGCGGAAACCCGTCCGCAGGTGCGGCCCCAACCAGCCCAGCCTATTCCGCAGAAGCGGACACTTGGTCCACAGAAGCGGATCCGCATGTATGGCCCATGCACCGTAGGTGTGAAAATCGTTGGGGCAGTGAGGTTCAATTAATACGGGACTTAAGCCATTTTCACTCATTTTCTCTCACTCTTTCGGCGATTATTGGAGCTTTTTGAGAGGGATTTCGACCTAGCTTTTGGAGGTAAGTAATATCTACCTATTGTGAGTTCAATACATTAAATTTTGGTGGATTCCAACATGAAAATTGGTAGAAATCATGAGTTAGATTAAAAAGCTAAGGTTTGACAAGAATGAGATTTTTACCACGAATTTGACTATGAGACTTAGTGATAATCATATATTTATGTTTCTTAGGTTATGGATAACAACTTCCTTTAAAAATTTCTGGAATCCGAGCACGTGGGCCCGGGGGTGAATTTAAGGAATCTTGCCTTTGAGGTTGGGTAATCACTTTAATAGTTATAATATGAACTTTTGGACCTATATAATGATTGGTTTTTACAATATTTGAATAGTTTTCTTCGGCTCCGATTTGAGGGTTTGAGCACATTCTTGAGTTTGGAAGTAGGCTTTTAAGCGAGGTAAGTCTCTTTTCTAACCTTGTAAGAGGGAAATTTCCCCATAGGTAAACTTAATTAATATGTGATTATTTATGGGGGCTATGTATGCACGAACTGACGAGAGTCCGTATGTAGCTTCTATTTCTATTATGTCCGGGTAGTTTTAGGTTTACACCATGCTTTGTTGACACTATTATTTAATTATATGTGCTAATTGTAACTAAAGCAATGAAGTTGAGGATTTCTAAGGATTTAAAGGCTTCAAGTTGAATTGTCTTCCTTTTTTTAAAAGAATCAAGAAAGGGTTATGATTTAAATGAAAAAATTTTACTTGACCGCGTCGCACGCATGATCCGCGAGCGAGGAAATTCCTCAAATTTATGTTTAATCGCGTCGCATGTATGATTTGTGAGAGGGGTGAATAGATGCATCTATGGTTCACGTCGTTCGACCCCGACAGTGCACTGTTTACTTTTACGTTGGATGGGGCCGAACGTCCTCGGTGGTATTTTGTGTGTGATAATAGAACTGAAGCTCTTTATAGTTTGTATAATTTGCTGGTTGAAAGTTTACTTGTTTTTAAATGAAATAAGTGCTTTGAATTCATAAATATGATGGAAGGATTTTCCAGTTATTATTATTGTTTTGAGCTTACTGTTATCTACAGACATTATGATTTAAAAATTTGGACTTCATATTATTATATCGTTGGCCCTAGTAAGTGTTGGAGTCGATCCCTCGTCACTACTTCTTCGAGGTTAGACGAGATACTTACTGGTTGCATATTTTTATGTACTCACGCTATACTTTTGTACTTAATTGTACAGGATTTGAGGTAGGTGCATCTGGTCACCATTCCGGCACATAGATCGGATTTCCCTTTCGAGACTTCACAGTGAGCTGCCTTCGGAGCCGTCCTGCAGCAGCAGCTGGAGTCTTCCTTATATTATATTTTCTGTCTATTTCCTTTGGGACAATAGACTAGTATTCTTTTGTATATTCTACTAGATTTTCTTATACTTGTGATACCAGGTTTTGGCACACACAGTAGTAGACTTATGATTTTTATTACTTACATGATTACTATTCGTATTTATGGCTTCCATTTATTTATGATTAAAATTTGAAACTCCTAATTTTTTTTATCAAATTAGGAGAATTTGTCACTTATTAATTTATTAAAAATGGGAATTCACTAGTTGATCTGTGTTGTCTTGCCTAACAACAGTGTTGGGCGCCCTCACAGCCTATAATAGAATTTGGGTCGTGACACGCTTATTCTTTTGTTTGTGTGTTTAGCCTCAATTAAAATATTCCTTAAATCCAATTTGATCAAGCACGCAACCGTACTAGTTACGGGACTCGGAGAATGCCTAACACCTTCTTCCCGGGTCAAATAAACCCCCTTACCTATAATCTCTGGTACAGTCAGTTTGATTGTGAAATGTGTTGTGACGGAAAATTCTTTTTGTTTTTTAAATGGTGACCTGGCACACCAAAACCAAATTTCAGGTGACGACTCTAAAAAATCCCTCGAAACACAATCTTTTATCACTTTTCAAATTGAAAACCCCTTTGATCTTAAAAACTACTTTTTATTATCTTTAAAGGGGTTAAGAGAATTTTTAACTATTTAAGACTTTGGAATCTGCTTCTTGGACTTTTCTCTCTGCGCACGTTAGATGAGATAACATGCGCCACCACGGGAAATGGGAGGAAGAGGGAGGCCAAGGAAAAACCATACCAAATTGCTAGTAAATGATCGCGGAATCAAGGAAAGTAGCTCAAAGGAACAAGGAAAACAATATGCAAAGGGGAAAATGCAGGAACAGGAACTGGATCTCGACAGTGATTGTGAGCTAAGTTGGCCAGATCTGAGTTTCAATCGTGTTAATTCAGGTACCCCAGTGAATCCCGCTAATCTAGGGATACCCAGGATGAATGTATCGCCAGTTGCCATTGGAGATGCAAGCACTAGCAGAGCAAAACCCAATGAAACAGTAACAAACAGTATTGTAAAGGAGCAGGGCAATGGAACAGTGACTGTAGAGCTGAGGCAGATAAGCAGAACCAGACGAAACCAACCAATTTGGGAATATCATGGGCTGGATTATTGCATGACAACAAATTAGCTGCAAAAGGAATGGATCTAACATATGTTCCACCGGTGATACAAGAGGGTGAAGTAGTAGTACAAATCCTGGAGGAAGATATAGCTGAGGAAAAGCAGAAATGGAATCGAGCTCTAATAATGTATGTAGTTGGAAACACTCCAACTATAGGTGCTGTTGAACGATTTGTTGCTGCTCAATGGGGAAAAGTCAGAAAACCTAAGGTACTATATCATAGTGATCGTTATTTTACAATTTTGTTGAATAGTGTTAAAGAAAGAGATGAAGTGCTGATGAATGGGCCTTATACTATGAACAGTAGACCTGTAATACTAAAAGCTTGGGCTGAGGGTTTTGATTTTAATGAAGAGGTTTTGAAAACTATTCTATTGTGGGTTAAATTCCCAAAACTCCCACTGAACTACTGGAGTAATAAGGCACTTAGCAAAATTGGAAGTGGACTAGGGAAGCCTTTGTATGCTGATACTTGCACAACTGTGGCTGATAGAATTTCCTATGCTAGGGTCCTTATAGAAATGGATATAACTAGAACTCTACCTGGGACAATTAAGCTGATTGACCCTAATGGCAAAGTGATTGAGCAAATGGTACAGTATGACTGGAAGCCCCAATACTGTCAAACTTGTTGTCAAACTGGTCACTCATGCCACAACATGAAAGTTCAGAAGCAAGAGGTGGGGCAGCAAACATATGGAATGCAGAGTCAAGGAAAGATATGGAAAGTTGTAAGAATTTTAGATCCCAAGACTGATAAAATTGATACAAGAGGCAGGTTCCTGGAGCAATTGGAAGAAGATAGTGATGGGATACAAAGCAACAATTCAAAGTATGAGCAATGGCAATTGGCAAAAGGCAAATCTGCTACAAAGAAGAATGGAGATGGAAGGGATGAGATGGAAGTTAACACTGGCAATGCTTTCACAGCTCTGGTAGATACTGCACAAAGACTAGTCCAAATGACAAGGGAGCAAGACAAAGAGAGGGAACAGCCTAGGGATAGAGGCAGAAGGGGTAACACAAATCAAAAAGCTATAATGATGAACATCATAGTGTGGAATGTTAGAGGTATGAATAAGGTGTATAAGCAAAAAGAACTAAAAACATTTATTAGGGAGAATAAGGTAGTGCTTATAGCAGTCCTGGAGAATAGAGTTAAAGAAACAAAGGCAGAAAGTATCATAAAGAAGATATTCAATAACTGGAGATGGATAGCAAATTACTCACAGGCTCCACGTGGTAGAATATGGATTGCTTGGGATCAAAAAAAGGTAGACTTTGAAGGGTATAAAATGCACCAACAATACATAATAGGGGAAGTCACAGAGAGGCAAAATGGCAATAAATTCAGATTTGGTGCTGTCTACGGAATGCATACAATACAAGATAGGAAAAGACTATGGGAAGATATGGAAAAAGCAATAGTTGGTGCTACTGATCCTTGTGTGCTAATGGGAGATTACAATACCATCTTGACTAGTGAAGATAGGGCTCAAGGAACACAAGTACAGGAATTTGAAGTAAAAGACTTCAAAGTTTTCATCTGGAGAAATGGACTAACTGAATTAAAGAGAGTAGGTAGAAAGTATACGTGGACTAATAACCATGTCCATAGTAAAATTGATAGAATTCTTGTTAATGCTGCCCGGATCCAAAAATGGCCTGTAATGGAAGGAAGGGCATTGCAGCCTGGGTTCTCAGATCATTGTCCATTAAGTCTACCAATGGACTATGAGTAACAGAATGGTGGGAGACCTTTCAAGTTCTTTAATTGTATAGCACAACATAAAGGATTTGAGGGAGCTGTATATGAATGCTGGAGAAAAAGAGAAGAAGGAAAAACAATGAACAGAGTATGGAGGAAACTCAAGATGCTATAGAGCAAACTGAAGCAGATGAATAGACAAGAATTTAACAATACTGTGCAAAGAATCCAAGAAGCAAGACTAAAATTGGAGGAGATTCAGAAGCAAATGGATGTACCTGGCTGCAGTACAGAAGGCATAACACAAGAAAAAGAAGCAAGGAAGGAGCTAGCTAAATGGAATGAAATTGAAGAAAGCATCATGAGGCAAAAGTCAAGGATCAAATGGCTCAAATTGGGAGATGCAAACACAGCATATTTCCATGCTTGTACTAAGAGTAAACAAGCCACTAACCATATAGGTTGTTTGTATAATAATGCAGGTCAGCTATAGATGTGGAAGATGAGATCCTAAACTTCTACAAAAATCTACTGGGAACAGCAGCAGTACAATTGCCAGCAGTAAACATAGAAGTAATGAAGCAGGGGAACAACCTGAATAGACAGCAACAATTGAATCTGATAAGGCAAGTAACCGAAGAGGAGGTTAAACAAGCACTTCAGAGTATTGATGACAACAAAGCTCCAGGTTGTGATGGATATAATGCTTTTTTCTACAAGAAAGCATGGCATATAATACGCAAGGAGGTGACTCAAGCAGTATTGCAATTTTTTGACAATCCATAAATGTGTAAGCAAATCAACTGTACTACTATAACTCTAGTCCCAAAAGTGAAAAATCCCAATAATATCAAAGAGTTTCGACCTATATCATGTTGCACTTTTCTGTACAAGATCATATCCAAAATCTTAACAAATAGATTGCAGGAAGTCTTGCCAGAGGTGATAGATAAATGTCAAACAACCTTTGTACCAGGAAGAGTGATCACGGATAATATTATAATGAGCCATGAATTGATTAAAGGATATGGAAGGAAGAATACATCACCCAGATGTATGCTCAAGATAGATATGCAGAAGGCCTATGGTTCAGTAGAATGGGTTTATGTGGAGCAAGTAATGAGGCAGCTGGGAATTCCAGAAAAATATGTAACTTGGGTGATGGCATGCATAAGCACAGTATCTTACTCAATCATTGTAAATGGGAAGCCAATCAAACCATTTGAAGCAAAGAGAAGGCTAAGGCAAGGAGATCCACTCTCACCAATGCTTTTTGTCATAGCAATGGAGTACCTGTGTAGATTACTCAAACAACTAGGAAACAACAAAAACTTCAAGTTCCATCCAAGGTGTGCTAAACTGAATCTCATACAATTAGGATTTGCTGATGACCTTCTGTTATTCTGCAAGGGAGAGGAGAAATCTGTGGTGGAAATTCACAATCAGTTTCAAAGATTCTCCAAAGCTTCTGGACTAGTAGAAAACACAAATAAGACCAGTGTATACTTTGGTGGAGTTGACAACCGGGTGCAGCAAAGAATTCTAGAAATACTAGGATATACTAAAGGTGAGCTACCCTTTAGATATCTTGGTGTCCCATTGAGTACAAAGAGACTGTCAATAGTCCAATGTGAGCCCTTGATTGACACGATGCTGAGTAGAGTGCAATGCTGGACAGCCAAGTTACTATCTTATGCAGGGAGAGCAACATTGATCAAAAGCGTATTGGGAACACTTCTAAATTTCTAGGAACAAGTCTTCACACTACCAAAGAAGATTATACAATTCATTGAGACAATATGCAGGAGATTTCTATGGACTGGGAATGCTGAACCAACAAGAAAGGCACTGATTGCTTGGGACAAATTATGTGTGCCTAAATCAGCAGGGGGACTAAACTTCATCAACATAGAGATATGGAACAAAGCAACTATTTGTAAATTGTTATGGAATATATGTAAAAAGAAGGAGAAAATGTGGGTGCAATGGGTTCATACGTATTATATAAAAGGGAGCAGTATTTGGGACACAAAGCCTAGGAATGCATCCTGGGTAATACAGAAGATTTTCAAGGCAAAGGAGCACTTTCAAGAGGCAGGATACTCAGAAGAAGATGTGAAGCAGCTAGATAGGTTCTCCACCAAGCAGCTGTACAAAAGACTACAAGGGGACTTCCAAAAGGTGCCATGGAGAGGACTAGTATGCAATAACAATGGGATGCCTAAATGGATTTTCATCCTAAGGTTTGCAATCCTATACAGACTAGCTACCAAGGAAAGACTTGCTAGATGGGGTACAATGGATGAAACAGTATGTTCACTATGTCAGCGAAGAAATGAAACAGTTCAACATCTTTTCTTTGAATGTGATGTAACATGGGAACTATGGCAGAAACTGTTACAGTGGCAAGGGATCGTGAGAAGGAAAAAAACAATGGCATGAAGAAATACAATGGGCAGTGGAGAAAGCAGCAGGAAAGAGTGCTGGAGCTGAGTTATACATAATCACTTTGGCTGCAGCTGTTTATCATGTCTGGCAGGTTAGGAATAAGAGTATATTTCAGAAGAAAAATGTCAGTGTTATGAGTATAGTGAAAGTGATAGTGCAGGAGGTTCATATACGAGCTCAAAGTTATAAAAAGCTGGCTACCTACTTAAGTAATTTGAACGGGTACCCAGTATAGTATAGCAAGGAATACAGTTGATTAGGGGGTAATGTAGTATCCTTACGTTGCGGCTTCATGTCCAACAAAGGAGAATACAGACGTTTAGTCTCTTGGTATATATTGTAAATATTTACTTGGTAATAAAAGCATTTAATTACCAAAAGAAGAGGTTAAGAGTAAAAAAAGGGGTGTAACAAAGATTTCTTAGCAAGCAAACATGATTTTTCTTATCCCGAGTAATGAATCCCTCGGGTTGACTTATATAAATCTGCTAATAAAATTCGGAACTTGGGATGACTCATTAAGGACATAGTGGTCTTCCTATGAATCTCCCATAGCTCATAATCAACATTGAAAATTCCACTTTCTAATATCGAATATTTTACGATACTCAAGTCCCTTTGGATAGTTTTGAGAAATTTCTACTAAGGATATGGTGGATATTTGCAGGATCGTTAGTAATTAACATGTTCAAGTTGGCAAGAACAAGACCATGGAACTCAGATGTGCCCATAGTTTCTATAATAACATCAGTTGCAAATTCATGGACACGATGAACATTTTGAATAGGGATTTTTACATTCCTGTGCCATATAGTAAACTATATTACCCGAAGTGTTCATGTTTAGTAAATTACCTTACCTACACAAGTTTTGTTTATAAAATATATACATTTCACCTTAAAAGGCTCCCAATCCATTATTAGTATCTTCAATTAAGGGATTTAGTTACACTCTTTTCCTTTTTTTGCCCCCTCTTCTCTTTCCTTATGTTTCCACTCATATGTCACAATTCGGTGGATCTTTCCTTCGATTCGATTTTGGATAGTTGTTCCAAAACTTAAACAGATCGATATATATAGCTAACTAGCAATCCCGATTTAAGCAGTATAAGGATTAAATTCAACTAAATCAGTTAATGCATGAATGCTTTTACTAATCTAGACGGTGCACATATTTTCTCTGCTCTTACACGCACTCCTATTTGGTCAAATTTTATTTGAAATAATCGTAAACAATTAGTGAAATTTCTGGTGATACGGGAAATAGGGCTTTTCTGACGGAGAAAACGTAAAAAAATCGTTATAGCCACTGCCACAAGTATTAACAAAAATCACGCGAATTCGAACTCATACTTCATCGGCAAAAAGAGATAAGAAACGAGGAATCTGGAACGAGAACAATCTGGAAGATTTTTACTTGCCATTTTTCTTGTTTTTATCTTTAAACATGAAAAAGTATCAACCAAAATTTAATGCGGATAATTTTTTTAAATTATGCGACTACAATAAAATACAAAATTTATAAAAAATTTATACAATATGTCTTTTGTATATTTTATATCTGATTTATACATAGTAAAAACAAATTTTATACAACTAATTATATATTATACAACTTATCTACAATTTTCATACATTATTTCTACTAAATTATATACAACTACAATATAATACCACTTAAATATAATTTTTATACAATATGTCTTTTGTATATTTTGTATCTAATTTATACATAGTAAAAACAAATTTCATACAACAAATTATAAATTATACAATTTATCTACAACTTTCACACATTATTTCTACTCAGTTAAATACAATTACAATAACATACAACTTAAATATAAATTTTATACAATATGTCTTTTGTATATTTTGTATCTGATTTATACATAGTAAAAATAAATTTCATACAACTAATTATATATTATACAACTTATCTATAATTTCATACATTATTTCTACTAAGTTATATACAACTACAATATAACACCACTTAAATACAATTTTTATACAATGTTGTTCAACTTTCATAGAATAGTTAAATGAATAACAGAAAAATAAGGGAACAACAGAATACAATTTTTCTATAATTTTTCTACAATTTCTGCAATATAATGTAAGTCATGTCTTCTTCTTCTTCGTCTTCGAGTTTCAATCGGAAATTCAGCCAAAACCAAGTCTAATCTTCACCAAAACCCCTCAAAATTGAGATATAAACTCCAAACCATATTCTCAATTATTTGCAACAACACTCAATCCTAACAAATAATGATTTTTGAAAAGCTAAATTCGAATTCAAAGCTTCAAAGCTTTTTAATGGCTGTCAATGGTAAAATTGCTGCTCTCTTTTCCTTTGCTTTATATTACTGAAATTTGGGATTGAGAGATAGAGAGAGACGTAGAGAGAATTCTTAATTCTTTGCAGCAACATCCAATCCAAACAATAATGTCTTTTGAAAACCCAAATTCGAATGCAAAGTTTCAAAACTTTTTAATGGTTGTAAACGGTGGAGGGGTTACAGATTTTCGCTGGTTTTAGAAGAGAAAATAGTAGGTGATTGAAGAGGAAATCGTGGGGTGTGGT